GACAAAAACTATCAGCCAAGAGTACTCTATCCCACAAAATTATCCTTCAGATATGATGGAGAAATAAAAGCTTTCCCAGGTAGACAAAAGCTGAGGGAGTTCATTGCCACTAGACGTGCCTTACAAGAAATGATTAAGGGAGCCCTCCTACCTGAAACAAAAAAGCAAAGGTTTACAGAGCTTTGAGCAAGGAGAAAAATAGGAAAAAATCAGAAAATTGCAGTTATCAGAATAGGTTAGCAAACACTTAATTATAACATAAAAGATAAAGGGAAGAAAGCATCAAAAATAACCATAAACACTTCAATTTAGTCACAAACTCACAACACAAAAAAGAATAACCTATGACAATAAAAACATAGGGGAAAGGAAAGGGATGGAACCTGCTTAGGCTAATGGAGATAAGAGGCTATCAGAAAATGGATCATCTCATCTATGAGATGTTTTATACAAACCTCATGGTAACAACAATACGAAAAATCAGACAGAGTCACAAATCATCAATAAAGAGAAAATTGAGAAAACCATCACAGAAAACCACCAGATACCACAGAAATACAAAGGATTATAAGAGAATACTATGAGAAGCTATATGACAACAAATTGGATAACCGAGAAGAAATTGATAAATTCTTAGAATCATACAACCTCCCAAAACTGAATCAAGCAATAGAGAATCTGAATATACTAGTCACAAGTAAAGTAACTGAAACAGTAATTAAAAACCTCCAAAAAGCTAAAGTGCAGGACCAGATGACTTCTCTGGTGAATTCTACCAAACATTCAAAGAAGATTTAATACCTATCCTTCTCAAACTATTCTGAAATATTGAAGAAGACAGGATGCTGCCTAACTCATTCTACAAAGCCAACATTGCCCTGATACCAAAACCAGACAAGGACAACACAAAAAAGGAAAATTACAGGCCAATATTGCCGATGAACATAGTTGCAAAAATCCTCAACAAAATATTAGCAAAATGAATATGGTAACACATTAAAAGGATCATACACCATGATCAAGTGGGATTTATTCCAGGGATGCAGGAATGGTTCAACATCCACAAATCAATCAATGCGATACACCACGTTAACAAAATGAGGAATAAAAATCACATGATCATCTCAATAGATGCAAAGTAAGTATTTGACAAGATCCAACATCCATGTATGATAAAAACTCTCAATAAAATGGGTATAAAAGGAAAGTACCTCAATGTAATAAAGGCTATATATGATAAACCCACAACCAACATCATACTTAATGGTGAAAAACTGAAAGCCTTTCCTGTGAGAACGGGAACAAGACAAGGGTGCCTACTCTCACCACTCTTATTCAACATAGTATTGGAAGTTTGGGCCAGAGCAATTAGGCAAGAAAAAGAAATAAAAGGGATCCAAATTGGAAAGGAATAAGTAAAACTCTCACTGTTTGGGGGCCATCCCAGTGGCATAGTGGTTAAGTTCGCATGGCTCCACTTCAGTGGCCCGGGGTTCATGGGATCGGATCCTGGGCCTACACACTGCTCATCAAGCCAAGCTGTGGCAGTTTCCTACATACAAAATAGAAGAAGATTAGCACAGATGTTAGCTCAGGGCTAATCTTCCTCAAGCAAAAAGAGGAAGATTGGCAACAGATGTTAGCTCAGGGCCAGTCTTCCTCACCAAAAAAAAAAAAAAAAAAAACTCTCACTGTTTGTGGATGACATGATTCTGTGTATAGAAAATCCTAAAGAATCCACCAGAAAGCTATTACAAACAATCAACAACTACAGCGAAGTTGCAGGGTACAAAATCAACATACAAAAATCAGTTGCATTTCTATACATTAATAACAAACTAGCAGAAAGAGAAGTCAAGAATACGATCCCATTTACAATTGCAACAAAGAGAATAAAATATCTAGGGATAAATTTAACCAAGGAGATGAATGACCTATACATTGAAAACTAAGACATTATTGAAAGAAATTGAATAAGACATAAAGAAATGGAAAGATATTCCATGCTCATGGATTGGAAGAATAAAAACAATGAAAATGTCCATATTATCTAAATCAATCTACAGATTCAGTGCAATCCCAATCAGAATCCCAATGACATCCTTCACGGAAATAGAACAAAGAATGCTAAAATTTATATGGAACAACAAAAGACCCCAAATAGCCAAAGTAACACTGAGAAAAAAGAACAAAGCTGGAGGCATCACAATCCCTGACTTTAAAATATACTACAAAGCTATAGTAATCAAAACAGCATGGTATTGGCAGAAAAACAGACACACAGATCAATGGAACAGAATTGAAAGCCCAGAAATAAACCACACCTCAATGGACAGCTAATCTTTGACAAAAGAACCAAGAACATACAATGGAGAGAAGAGAGTCTTTTCAATAACTGGTGTTGGGAAAACTGGACAGCCACATGCAAAAGAATGAACGTAGACCATTATCTTACACCATACACAAAAATTAACCCAAAATGGATTAAAGACTTGAATGTAAGACATGAAACTATAAAACTCCTACAAGAAAATATAGTCAGTATACTCTTAGACATCAGTCTTAGCAGTCTTTTCCAATATCATGTCTACTCAGGCAAGGGAAACAAAAGAAAAAATAAACAATTGGGACTACATCAGACTAAAAAACTTCTGCAAGGCAAAGGCAACCATGAAAAATGAAAAGACAACCCACCAACTGGGAGAAAATGTTTGCAAATCATATATCTGACAAGGAGTTAATCTCCAAAATATATAAAGAACTCATACAACTCAACAAGAAAAAAACAAACAACCCAATCAAAACATGGGCAGAGGATATGAACAGACGTTTTTCCAAAGAAGATATACAGATGGCCAATGGACACATGCAAAGATGTTCAACATCACTAATTATTAGGGAAATGTAAACCAAAACTACTGTGAGATTTCACCTTATACCCATCAGAATGGCTATAATTAACAAGACAAGAAATAACAAATGTTGGAGAGGATGTGGAGAAAAGGGGACCCTCATACATTGCTGGTGGGAGTGCAAACTGGTGTAGCCACTGTGGAAAACAGTATGGAGGTTTCTCAAAAAACTAAAAATAGAAATACCATATGATCCAGCTATCCCGCTACTGGGTATTTATCCAAAGGACATGAAATCAACAATTCAAAGATATTTATGCACCTCTATGTTCATCACAGCGTTATTCACAATAGCCAAGATGTGGAAGCAACCCAAGTACCCATCAATGGATGAATGAATAAAGAAGATGTGATATATATATATATATATACACACATATATATATATACATTTATATATATATGTGTGTATATATATATATATATATATATATACACACACACACATACACACAGTGGAATACTACTCAGCCATAAAAAAAGACAAAATCATCCTATTTGCAACAACATGGATGGACTTTGAGGGTAATATGCTAAGCAAAATAAGCCAGACAAAGACAAACTCCGTATGATTTCACTCATATGTGGAATATAAACAAACATAGATGAGGAGAACCTATTAGTGGTTACCAGAGGAGGAAAGGGTGGGAAGAGGGCAAAAGGGGTAAAGGGGCACATATATCTGGTGACGGATAAAGACTAGACTATTAGTGGTGAACACGATGCAATCTATACAGAAACTGATTTGTGATAATGTACACCTGAAATTTACACAACATTATAAGCCAATGTGACCTCAACAACATAATTTTTAAAAAATTCACTGTGATTAATTCCTACTAAGAGGAGATAATTAAATTTCCAGAAGAGCTAAAAAGCATCCCTAACGTGTCCTACTAATATGTGCAGCAGTTTGCCTGTGAATGGACTTTTCTTTGACAATAACACATTTTTTTAATGAGGAGTTTTTTAAAAATTGGAAATTTAGGTCATAAAGTTCTCATACTAATCTTGAATATATTTGACAATTGTTAAAGCATTCTGAATTCCTACTTCTTTATATTTGTATATAGTTTACTCCACTCAGCCTATCTGAATCTTTCCCATCCTCACTCAAGTCTCACTCCCCATGGAGAGGAGTGATTAACATCTGTTGCTCTTACTCTGTGTCTGGAGCTGTACTGAAATTTTACACGTGCTCTCTCATTTAGTTTTCCCAATAATGCTATGCGATAATGTAATAGTATTGCTCCCATTTCACAGATGAGGAAACTGAGGTAGCATGCCCCTGTCCTCAGAGCTAGTGAGGATTCCAACTCAAGTTCTAAATCCCACACCTTCTTCAAGCCCTAGCTCTGCCCCTAACCATGAACTATATGCCCTGCCTCCCCCGACCTTAATTTCCTAATCTGAACTCCTATAGCCTAGGGTCTGCATCTCTTATTACATACCCCGCTGTCTCCCTCATCTCCTGGTCTAGTGACTTGCATCTAGCTGGCGCTGGAAGCATGTTTGATGGGGAAAGAATTGTTTTCTTTTTCGCAGGGGAGAGAGAATTCCTAGTTAATAGCCTTGTTCTCCAGGAATGTGAGCTCAGAAGGAATCCTGCCTCCAGTATTCTTTTAAATGCCAGGTTTATAGTATTCTTGACATTATCTAATTTTCAGTTAAAGAAAAATCTATATAAAAGCTAACTTAGATTGCATATAGTGTTTTGATTTATTACTATTAAAGTGATTCAAAATGTATAGCGCTTTTTGACTTATGAGTGTCTTTCGTTTCATCTCAAGATGAACACCTACTATTTGCATTGTTTTGTACTAAGTGAGGGATATAGAAATGAATAAGGCAAAGTATCTGCCCTTGAGTGCTTGCAGTTTATTTGGGAAAACAAGAATGTAGACAACTAGTGCTGGAAAAACAACAAAACAAAACAGAAACCAAGGGTGGTTGAATAGGGCTGTAAACTGGTAGGTTTAGACTGATAACTTGTCACGTGTGATGTTTTGGTAAGTAATAAATCATTTAGTCATAATGTTAAGCTTCAAATCATTATCATGAAGTTAATTATCATACATGTCTTTACAGCAAGTTTATTTCTGATCGAGAAAGTAGAAGAAGTCTCACTAACAGCCATTTGGAAAAAAAGAAATGTGATGAATATGTAAGTGTCATTATAATAAAATATGCTTATTCTTTTTAATCACATAATTTGGGACAGATGTTTTTAATTCATATAGCATAGTACCATAAGCATAGCTATCTACATTCACCAGGATATTCCTTGGATTCTCTGTATTTTTTCCTGAAACCCATTAAAAAAAATAACTAGGGGCCAGCCTGGTGGCATAATGGTTAGGTTCACATGCTCCCCTTCGGCAACCTGGGGTTTGCGGGTCTGGATCCTGGGTGCAGACCTACACACCACTCATTAGGCCGTGCTGTGGCAGTGTCCCACATACAAAATAAAGGAGGATTGGCACAGATGTTAGCTCAGGGACAATCTTCCTCCCCAAAAAAATAAAAATAAAAATAACTAGACCACTAAGGAAGGATTTCTTGAATTTTATTTCCCTGTTGGTTCCTAATAGTGCTTTAAAGACTTTGGCACGATGTACCTTCTTGGTGACTATTTTGCTTGGTGTGAATGTTTGTCTCTTTGTTCAGATTCCAGGAACAACCTCCTTAGGCATGTCTGTTTTTAACCTAAGCAACGCCATTATGGGCAGTGGGATTTTGGGACTCGCCTTCGCCCTGGCAAACACCGGCATCCTGCTCTTTCTGTGAGTGTTGACACTACAGTACTTTCCATTTTAAAACTGTATTTTCTGTGTGTTTCTGTTCAAGTACAGAAGAAATTGAAAATATTTCTAAATAGTTTTTATTTCCTTTTATGTTTTTACTAACTTGGCTAAGTTACCACTACATACTTTTATACTGTTTGTTTGAATGATTTTCCAAGACACGTAATGTTTATAAGAAGTGGAAGGAGAAAATCTTTTTATTAATCAAAAATGCCAAAATAAGCACTCATAAAAGGGATTAAAAGATTTTAAAATAGCATTTTTTGTATATTTGGACTCTTTACCTGTCCCTTTAAATCTCAGCTAAATGGTCAAAATATTAAGAGGTGTTTAATCCAACGAGTCACTATTTTGGTATTTGGATTGCGATGGAACATGTACTATATCCAAAGGTAATTGCAAATTTGTAATAAATATTCAAGAAGCTTAGAAGTTTTCAGTGTTTTAAAGATGAGAAATTAGCATGTACTTTTCCTCTGAGATTCAGTGAAAAGAAAATGGGCAATTTTCTTTTGAAATACGTTCATCTCAAACTGTTGAATAGGACTTTCTGCAAATGCACAGAGGGCTTATTTTCAGTTGGAACAAGATGAAGACAGATCGTAGAATTTATACCAGGAAAATTCTCACCCAGCCTAATTTCCCTCTCAAACTTCAAAGGGAGTATCAGTGGTGCTTTGCTTGAGGAGGCAAGGAGGAAATTCTCTTCTTCCAGGATCTTGCCTTTTCACCCCTGACTACATTCACACGCTCTTCATTGGCCTTGCTCAGTTGTCCTCATTGCCAGATCATTTTGATGGGAGCATCGTTTCCTTGGAAGCAGTGACTGAAATGGCTACTAATCCTACAAATTGTGTATATTCCTTTAGAAAGACTTGGAAAACTGTAATGGAGGTGCATTGCTACCCATTCCATTACTCAGACATCAGAAATGCCCATCCATGCTGCGCCATATTGATCCATGGCACTAGGGATTAATATTCTTACTTTTGAGTGTAAACCCGCTAGAGGTGTCCTTCCTAGAATTAAAACAACTTTGTGTAGGACAGTGAATTCAATCCACTTTCTTCCTTATTGTCAATGTAACTCAGTAAACCCAACTGTAGCTCCCTCTCTTTATTGCCCTGGGTGGGTCTTTCTATGTGGTCTTTCTTCTTATGTATACCTTGAGCCAACTGCCAGGTTTTAGGATAACATGACAGTTGGACAAAACATTTCTATTGTTAATTTTTTTTTTATGTGTGGAAACTCTGACCCTCTGAGGATACCACAGAGATAGCTTGTGTCACTGTACTTCTGATTTTCAGTGAGATGAAATGAGACACCTGACTTGCAGGCCCAACTCCTCTTCTAAATGACTGTGTAGTCTTAAGCAAGTTACTTAGAAGCTCTGAGCTTCAATTTCCTACTCTTTAAAACAAGGAAATTGCACTAGAAAAATCTCAGAACCCTGCCAACCTCCAAAACCCTATGGTTTTGTAACTATTTTCAGTCATCCCAAATTTGGAAATATGTTCAGTTCAGAAATGTGTTTTAAATTGATTTCTTTTTTTAAGTTATTGTAATCTATCAAGTAGTTATATGTTAACGTAGCGTAAGGAGTCAATTCTTTGATGATGATGACAGCAACAACAACTCTTGTAGCTCTTACATTGTGGCAGGTTCTACCCTAAGCATCTTATGCTGAATCCTTACAAGTCTCTGTGGTAGGTACTATCGCTAGTTCTCTGTTTCACGATAAGGGAACGGAGGCATAGAGAGGAGACTTTTATTTTGGAATCTCTTTATCACCATTCTGGGAATTCCCTTCATCTCTCTTTTCTGCTAGATCTCTTGTTTCCTGTATTCTATTTCTTCTTTCTGGATTTACCTCCTTGCTTTTGTTGCTGAGAAAGGATGAATAAAAATGAATTTTTTGATGCCTTCATGTCTGAAAAATGTCTTTATTCTACCTTCACCTTTGGTTGGTAGTTTGGATGGATATAGAACTCTGTATTGGCAATAATTTTCCTTCAGAATTTTGAAAGTGTTGCTCCACTGCTTTCTAGATTTTTCTGTTGTGAGGTCCCATATGCTTCTAATTCCTGATCTTTTATCTATAGCCAGGGTTTTTGTTTTTTGTTATTTTTTTCCTGGAAACTTGTCAAATCTCTTTGTTCCCAATGCTCTGCAGTTTCACAATGATGTGTCTTGATGTGGGCCTCTTTTCATCCATTGTATCAGGCAATTGGTGCATCCTTTTCTTTCAGAAATTCATGGTCTTCAGTTTTGGCATATTTTCTTACATTATTGTGTTGATGAATTCCTTCCTCTTCTTTCTCTTTTCTCTCTTTCTGGAACTGTTACCCAGATTTTGGACCTTCTGGACTAGTCCTCTAATTTTTTTATTCTTTTATTCATTTTCATTTCTACTGTTTTTCACTATACATTCTAGGATACGTCCTCAATTTTTTCCCAACTCTTTACTGAATGTTTTATTTCTGTTATTATTTTTTATTTATAGGACCTTTTAAAAATTCTTTCAATGTTCTTTTTTATATTATTTTGTTTTTGTTTTATGATTTTATTATCTTCTCTGAGGATTCTAATGATACTTTTTCTCTGTTACGGAAAATTTCAGACATAAATTAGAGAGAATACTATAAAAGATTCCCATGTTCCCTTCATCCCACAGCCACACTTATTTAGTCATTCTTCTCATCCAGATTGTCATGAAGCAAATCCCAGCTATCATATCATTTCATCCATAAGTATTTCAGTATATTTCTCTAAAATATAAGAACTGCTAAAACATAACCATAATATGTCATACCTAAAAAATGAACAGCAGTTCCTTATATCATCAAATATCCAAAAATATTTAAATTGCTCTGATTATTTCATTTTTTAAAAAACAATTGGATTGTTCAAATCGATACTCAAATAAGGTCCATATAGTACAATTGGTTGATATGTGTTTTAAGTGTCTTTTAATCTATAGGTTCCCCCATTTCTCTCTTTTCTTTTTTTCATGCAATTTATTTGTTGAAGAAACTGGGCCATTTATCCTATAGAGTTTCCCACAGTCTGAATTCTGCTGATTGTATCTCTGTGGTGCAAGTTGACTTTTTTGTTTGTTTTTGACTCTATCTTTCATTTTAGAATCTTTCCTCAGATGTCAGGTGGTCATTGTCTACTATATTCGAGAAATAGGGGGAACACAAGGCTAATTTGAGGCTGGTACACATGAGTGGGGCTTGTTGGCAGTAGCTTCCCTTGAGGTGCTGTCAACAGCTCTTTACTTGGGGAACCACCAGTGTCAGTCTCTCTTTGGCTGTTCAGATCTGTCCAGAGAATATCTTCCAGTCCCCTGCCTGGAGGGTCTAGGCATTGCTGCCATCTTTCTGGGAACCAAGTGGGGAAAAGGGTTGGAGCGAATATCTCAGCATGCATGTGTTCACCCAATCCCAGTTTTCATTACACTACCTTCTCCCCAACAAGTTGTGCTGAGTCCCTCACCCAGAGACATATTTTATACTTTCCAAAGAAAGTATGTTCAGATATGGATGTTTTGGGAGAGGAGAAATCACTCAGTTATACAGAGCAGGTGCCTGGTCTGCGGAACCTAGCTATTTCTTGAAAGAAGTCAACAGATCCTCTTTATTTTAGCTCATCCCTTCCATTGTTCCTACTTCCAGTAATGCCACCAGGGCCTTTCGGGAACTCTGTGGTGTAAATTGCTCTTGGCTTTCTCCACTGCCAATTTAAGATTCAGCTCTGTCTACTTTCCAGCTTCTGAAATTTTTTTATTGTCGTCTCCTCTCATGTGCTTACTATCTTAGCAGTTTTATGCCTTAAAAAAAATCCCTTTACTGGGATATCAGGAGGGAGCAGAAGTAAATTCTTGTATTCCATCTACCATCCCTGGAATTCTGTTGATTTTTAATTATACTGGTTCAGGGGTCATTGGTCTCTCATCTCATGACTCTTCAGTTTCTGACTGAAGCAAAGAATTGGATAAACTTGACTTTTATAGTTGCAGGAAGATTTCCCCTGGATAAAACTGTTATAGATCATTTGTTTATTTGCAAGACGTGTGAATAGCAAGCACAACACACCAGATCTTCAGGTTCAAGCTCATGAAGGTAGTTGTATAAAGACCCGAACTTGTAAGTTTTTCACAAAACGTAGAGCTCTCCTCCCTCAGAACAAGGACTCACTGTGTGTGTTGTAAAACCAGCTGCTCCTACAGCTGCTCAAAGCCAAGAAGCAGTTGGCAGGATCAAGGTACTTCATCTGGTACAGGGCCCTGGTCCAGACTCATATTGGCCAACAGAGAGAAGGAGTCCAAGCCTGTCCAGGCTTCTTTAGAAAAGCCGCTGGGAAGGCTCCTCGGTGTCTCACTGACGCTGGGCACAGCGCGCTTCACTGGGGTCATCTGGAAACTTGCAGGGGTGATTTCTTTTTCTTGGATAAGTTTGGGGCTCGTTATTTTGACCTCACCATAATGGCTGTCATCCCTGTTTAACACACATCTGATTCGACTAGATTCAGTGAATTCTGCCCTATTGTAAGAATGCTGTTAGGTTTGTGTTTTCCAGAATTCTGAGCTCTCATAATTCCATCTCAGGAACAGGAAGTGTGGTAGTGGGGACTCTCAGTTCACAATTGTTCTGAAGCTATATGTTCGCTGTTGGAAACAAAATGGGGCTGTACTCTGAGGCAGCAATTCAGGGATGTGCCTTAGGGTAAAATGCACCTTTTGAATTGAGTTTTCTTAAGAGTGAGGAATCCAAGGAAAAGGCAATGGGTGCTGAAGAAATCTCCCTCCACTGTAACTTCCTCTTCTCTCTCTAACCTTTCACACAGCTTCCCCATAATGCCATCACAGCGAAAGTAGGGATTAAAAGTAAATATTGGCATGGAAGAATAATGGATTTTGTTTTGTTTTTTATTTCACATTACCACCTCCCCCATCCCAGCCAAAAACAGGAAAGTAA